ATAGTTATATAAAATCATTTATTGATTTTAGATAATTGTGACAGGAATGATATGTCACCTTTTTGCTAAATCATTTATTTAAAGTCTTAATCAACTGTTGCACCCTGTGCTTCTTCTTAAGACTAATATTTTCTTAGTTGTTAATCAAACCTCCCAATTTTAGATAAATCAAATCCCTTGATTCGCCATCTGAAACTAGTTTTTATAAACTGGACTTTCGAAATAACTTTACAAGCTATCTCTGTGGGAACGATATCTGGTACTTTTTACCATTATTACTTGTTACGAGACGACAGTAGTTCGAGGTGTATACTTGCGCCGAGTTCTATTTTTGTGTTGAAATCTAAGGTTGAATAAACCGACGAGCAATACCTTTCAAACTTCTGATGCTATCAAGAATACCACCGGTTTGTTTGTGGAAAGATCAATACTTTTGGTAGAGGATAGATCGCCGACAGAAATTCTTGTTTCACATTAATATTCTAAGCTAACCTATACATACAGAGATTATATATATATATATACACATACACACACACACATATATATATATATATATATATACAGAGAGATAGAGAAAGAGAGAAGGCAGAGGCGTGCATTTCACATGGGTGATGAAAGGACGGTGGCGTCCCTGATGGAGAAAGAAGCAAGAGCCAAAAGAAAATCAAAGAAAAAGGAAAATTAGAGGAATTAAGATATTAGTTTGCCTCTTATCTATTCAGACCCTATTAAGTGATAAGATGTTCTGAAAAATAAAAATAAAAACAAACAGTCTGAATTACAACGTCTAAACGAATCAAACATAAGTGGTAATTAAGAGCTAAAAATGAAAAAACTAACAAGGCCTAAGTCTATTTCCCCCTTTAAATTCAAGACCAACTTCTTTTCTTCCGCAATCCAAGATGAGTTTCAATTCCTCTAATTTCATTTCAGAAATTCAACTTGTCTTGAATAACATCAAATGCTCTAACAATCAGCTCTCAGTCTCCCTTATCTATAATTTCTTTAGCTTTATCCTTGACATCAAGCTTTAGATTTAACTTCTTTCGGGTAAGCTTTAGAGTACTGTCAGAATACTTTTCAATCTATCCATTGGGAATTTGAAATCAATGTTATATGCAAAGCTTATTTCTTAGTCTACTAATGAAGATGCAACAGGTACAAATTTGGTTGGTATTATGAGGTCTCAATCTGAATCTTCATCAGATGTCTTGACCAAAATAGAACTTTTACTGTTTAAAGATGAGGTTAGAAGGAATTTATTGATCATCACAGATCTTATTAAGTCAACTTCATATCCTCTTCAAAAGACACTATCACTTTTATCTAAAAGGGTTCAAACCTTGGAGGATACTTGTAAATCTCAGGCGGAGTCTTTAAAACGAAGACATGATGATTTTGATGACCAATATCATCATGAGAGGGAGAACAAACGCTAGAGAGTGTTTGAAGAAACTGAGATTGGAGGTCAATATGTTGAAGTTGAAGATTTGAATGAGTAAACTGGAAATGTTAATAGATTTGAAGGTGGAAATAAACTGATTATGTGGAGCTTCCAGTTGTTCAAATTACTGAATCAACGGTTGAAAAGCCTGAGGTTGTAGATAAAAGAACTAAAGAGGAAATCTTGGCTGATAATATGCTGATGATATAATTGATATTGAATCTGATGCTGAAGAGTCAGAGTCTCTTAAGTTACAAGTCAAAATGAGATAGAAGATTTGTTCACTTTATCTGACAATGAGTTTAAAGAAGAATGAGACTTTGATATAATCAATCAGATGAACAAAGATATTCCAGAGTCACCTGACAGCGAACAAAAACATAATTCTTTAGTACAACTGTTGCGATATTTTATATGAAGATAAAATCACCCAAACTGTGTGCAAAATGAAACCCATGCAAGTATACACGTATCAACCCACTATCATCTTTTACAAGTAATAAGAACGGTAAGATACCGAATATCTATCCACAGGGAAATAGGTATTAAAAGTTTTAAAGTCCAGAAAAATATTAGATTTTAGATGACGAGTTCGAAGAATTGTTTTTGGTTTCGTAACTTTAAAACTAAATGATGCAAATAATTACTTTAAAGGAAAGCAAGGGTGTAAGGATCAGTTAAGATTTTTAGACAAATAAATCAGATAGAACTATGTAGATAATAACTTATCTTTAACCAACCATCAGTTTGTGTAAGGTACTATCTCGAGGTTGAGAAGGGCACTTATCCAAGGACCGATTCTAATATTTTCAAAATAAAATCAGTTCTGGCAATGGCACAATCTATCCCTTGTATAAGCTGTACGAAATGAAAACAAGTCTCATTGATTCTAAGTAACTCTCTCAAGTATACTTCCGTATTATTCAAGTTGATGTGTTCGAGATGACTTATCTCTAAATCCATCAAATTGTTAACATTTTTTTGCAAAAATCAACTTGTCAAGAGAGATGTAATGTTTATCGATATAACCTTGAATAAATGGTTAGAAAGTATTGTTAATATTTAACAAATTTCTAGCATCAAAGTTGATCTTTTATCTTAATGTTACCCTACACCCAAGCTAAGATTGTCAGCTTATCATCGCTCGGGATCCTTGCATATCTATTTTAAAAACGAGAAAATAAATTTGCATAGAAAAAAAGTTTTATGACAACTAAAAATTAAAATAACCGTAAACTAAAAACTACGAGGAATTAAAATAAATGACGAAAGTAAGTGGTACCTTAGCTTTCTTCATTAACCCGTTGATCAGCGATGGAAAATAAAGCTTACCGTTTTGCTTGCGGGCACAATTTTGGATGGCTTTACTGATCACGGTCCCTACATTTATAGTCTTACCGGTTAATATACAAAATAAAAGTATCACGCGATCAACCGATATACTATAATCATGTGAAGTAAGGTGCAAAGAATGCCATATAAAATGTATCCAAATGGCGGCATCTTTTACGAGTTGACTTTCAAACATAATCTTCTTTTTCCCCCTTAAAGTCCAACTTGCACCTTCCTTTCCCAAAGTTCCCAAAATCAAGTCTAAATCTTTTTCGGAGGTGTTCTCTAAAGGCGTGTGTAGTCGCAAACCTCCGGTGCTGTCAAATTAAAATAAATGTTAGTCAATTCGGGTGAAAATGAAATGGTAACACCTCTTACCGATACCGTCGTTCCAACCGTTATGTCTACCGCCTAATAAAATTCTTGGACCTAAGTGAGATGATACGATTGTGGAACCGCCGTGTAGTCTTCCCAACCTCTTTCTATGATTACCTTTCTGATGAAGTCTAAATGTTGGATACAATCTGCTTGAAAACCTCGTTCCGAAAATCCAAGTAATGTACCAAAAACAGTTAGCTTTCAGTCTCCTTCTTTTACCAATAACCACACTTTTTTCTTTGAGACCGATCCCTTTTGTTTGACCTTTCGTTTTGATTTTCTTGTTTTCAACAGGGTCTCATTACTTGGTTCCTACATCGTATCTCATTCTTCCACGGCTTTCTTGCCCTTCTTTTCAATTGGTACCAATGGTGAATCGGTCGACTCCTTACTTCCACCCACAATAAAACTGTTGTTATCGTCACCACTTTCTTCCAACAATGGTGTTAGAGTTTGATGGGAGTGAGTGTGATTGGTGGTGTAGGTTGGAAATTTAAGTCGGGTATAATAAATTTAAAGACCGGTTCTGAAAGATTCAAAAAGTGTATTGGTACTTGAAAAGATGGGTTTGGCATAAACATGCCATGCTCTGTTGGGTTTTGATTCCAATCGAAAGGTACAACCATGGTGATGTTCTCATTACCAATTTTTGTGTGCGTGTCCAACATACCCATTTGTGGTGATAGTGGTTCTTGTGAAAAAACAGTGGTGTACATGGTGTTAAAAACAGTTGTGCCGTCATTTTGTTCCGGTGGTAATTCAGCTACTATGATGTGGGAGGGAATGACGGTGTCTTTTGCGAACACCGTTGTGGTACCCTCCGGATTTTGGAGTGTTTGTGGTTGGGTGATCTCATCAGGGGCGGACCTGCTTGGTTGGCATGGGTGGCACATGCCACCGTATTATTTAGCTACCGAAGGGTAAAAATTTTAGGTTCATTAACGGTGCTACCGTATTGTTTTGAAAGGTGCTACCGTATTTTTTCTGAATTTCAAATAGTGCAACTAAATCTAAAACCCAAACAAGATAAAGTCCAAATAAATTAGATAAGTAAGCCTAATAAATTGATTAATCTAATAACATAAGTTTAGTAAGCCCAACCAGCCCAAATAAAAGAAAACTCAGTCCACTGGTCCAGTCCAAGATTAAAGCCTAACTCGGTAACTCCTAAGGGACTAAATCCTAATTCCTAAAGAAGTAAAAAATAAAGCCCTAACCTGCAGCTGGTGGCCTGGTGCGTGCGAGACTGCGAGTGCGAGTGAGAAGACGACGCGACCTGGTGCGAGTGCGAGTGTGTGAGGCTGTGAGCGACAACAAGCCGACAACGAGATTCGATTCATCCTTGGAACGAGTCTTGAAGACTCGGTACTCACTGAGTCATCGATTCTCCGCTTGGAACGAGTTACATGGAACGATTCATCGATTGGAATGACCGAATGAGTTGATGTTTTGAACTCTATTTTAGGATTAACAAATTCATTGTCTCAAGCTCTTCAAAGGAAAGATGAAGACATCTTGGAAGCTATTGATTTGATAGGAACAACCAAAGGTCAATTACAAATGTTGAGGGAAAATGGGTTTGATCAAGTTTTGGAGAAATGCTACTCTTTTTGTGATAAATATAAGGTCGTGAAGTTGGATATGGCTGAAGCTTATGTTAATACAAGAAATTCAAGGAAAAGGATGAACATTACCAATCAACATTATTATAACTATGATATATTCAACACTGTTTTGGATATGCAGATCCGAGAGTTTGGTGATCGTTTTGGTGAGATAAGCATCGACTTGCTTCAAAATATGGCAGCTTTGAATCCATGCAATTCGTTTTCTCAGTTTAACAAATCAAGCCTATTGAAGTTGAGTCAGATGTATCCCCGAGATTTTGATGACAAGGAAAGGATCATTCTTGAGCACGAACTTGATATCTACTATCATTCTATTTATAATGATGTCAGATTTGCCAACTTAAACGGTATTGCCGATCTCGCCAGATTAATGGTGGCAACAAGAAAGCATCTTTCTCATCCTTTAGTCCACCGGTTATTGAAACTAACACTGGTTTTGCCTGTTGCAACTGCTACGGTTGAAATATGCTTTTCGGCAACGAAGCTTGTCAAGACAGATTTACGTAATCGAATTGGAGATGATTTTTTGAATTTTGCCCTCATTTGCGCCATAGAAAAGGAAGTCCTTAGTAATGTTAAAAACGAAGATGTCATCGATCGTTTCCAAAAGATGAAGACACGCTGAGGACAAATTTATGAGTTGTTTCTCAACATACTTTTTGTAATTATTTTTGGGTATATATTGACCGTTTTCAAAAGATGAAGACGCGTCGGGTACAAGTTTAGGAGTTGTTTATCGGTACTATAAATTTTTTGTAATTAATTTTTAGATATATATTATATTATATGGTGCCACCGTATGAAAAAATTTCTGGGTCCGTCCCTGTGATCTCATGTGGCCATTCTATTTGACCAATCGGTTCCTCCTCATGTAATATCACATCTTCAATACGATTAATATCAACAAGACTGTGTGTGTGTGTGTATGTGTCTGTGGGTTTGATTTAATATGTTCAAAATCATGTTGAGACCATCCACATCCCTGCAATCCATTTACACTTTCAATTGTGCCACATCAGCTTTTGCAATTATCTTCCATACACCTGCAATTCACCTACAACACTTTCAACTGTGTCACGTCAGCTTTTGCAATTACCACCTACACACCTGCAATTCACCTACACTTTCAAAAGTGGTCCCCACTACAACATTTATTAATTATTTTATAAATTATTTGTATATACATTCTAATTATTTTTTAATTAATAACATGTTTTATTTTAATTCATGTTTTATTTGTTACTCGTGCGTGTTTTATGTTAGTTATATGTAATTTTATATATTAGATTATAATTTTATGTAATTATAAAATTTAATGTTTAAATTAATTTAGTTATNATTAGATTATAATTTTATGTAATTATAAAATTTAATGTTTAAATTAATTTAGTTATATTATATTTATATTTTTTTTAAATAACATATATACATGCATAGAATATTTTCATATAAGAATAATTAATTTAATTAATAAATATATTAATATTATAAAAATTAATTTATTTAAATAATCAGAAAAAAAAAGAAATTGGAGAGGAGGTGGTGCCCGCGTGGCTTTCAAATTGAATTGCAAATTTTGCAATTCAAAATCCTACATGGCAGCAAGCATCTTCAAAAATGTATTTGCAATTCAATTTGCAATCCATTTGCAAGTCCCATGTGGATGCTCTGACTAATCGTATTAGGTGCATGAAGTGTTAAAATTGGTGCTTCTCACCATAGCTCCGCCAAATTTTCATAAGCAAGTATATGTACATTAGGCTCTGTTAATTGTACCTCACGTAAAATTGTCATTTCTGCATGAGTTCCACTTTTTGAAGCTGTCCCCATCTCATTTTTTTTCCCAAATAGATCTGTCTCTTTCTATATTTTTCACTTCTTTCAGCTTTTGGAATATAACCTTCAACATCAATGTAGGTACCTTCTTCGTTTGTCATTGGTTTGGTCACATGTTTTTCCGTTGATCGGGTTGTCGGGTGTCTCCCCGTTTTGATCACTGATTTCCCTTTTTGTTTAGAGCTAGGTTTGCTTTTGGGTTTTGAGGTTTGGGGAGGTGCATTAACTATGGGTGAAAACAGAAAAGGGGGTTACGGTTGTTGGTGGCGTGGGGTGGGTTGGTGGACGGCCGTTGATGCACCGGCCGACTATGGGTGGTGGCCATGTTTTCCGGCGACATTGGGTTTAGGTGGATTAGGTTTTTGGGTAAGGGTGGAGCGATAGAAATGGACTCGGGGTTGAGAGGAATGGAGCGGCCGGAGTCGGTTGATGACGATTGTGGAGGCGACGACGGTCTCGACCGGTATTGGTGATGGCGACATTGGCCATGGAGAGGAGAAGGGAAGAAGTTCTTGGATTGTTTTTTTTTTTTTGTTTTCTTTGCTCGAAAGACAAATAAATAAATAAATACACACACATATACACACACATATATATATATATACACACACACACACGCATAGGGGCATAATCAAATGAGAACTAATTAATTTGTGGTAACCGTGAGGTTCAATCTCAACCACAAATCAATTAATAAATTAGGAAATTTATAATTTTGGTAATTTTGAATTAAAATTTTAATGCAAAGACATTTTAGGTATTTTAAAACTCTCATCTGTTGATGACAGCCTTCCGAATTGTAATGGTTGGTTGTGATAGGATTAGATTTTTATATCATCAAATTTTGGAGACTTTTACAAACCCCTCAACACCGGATACGAGACACTACCTTCGCATTATTAAAGATCTCGTTGTGTAGAATCAAAATGCTACATCATAACCCCTCATGTTTCAGCTATGATCCACTAGATAACAACATACAAACCCTTGAAGACTTGAATATGATAATCAAAAGAGAACATAAAACTTCATAATTCACATTCTAAAGATGATAAAATGGATCATTTCGTAACCTATATGTATTCAGAGTAGAGATAAAGATATGTAGAGAGTGAGAGCAAGAAATATATGATGATGATTTACTAATCAGTGGTTGGTTACCAACCAAGCCACAAAATGTGGCAAAACTAAACTCAAAGCAAACCCCGAAGCTTGGAAGCAAATATGCTGTCAAATGAGAGAAAATTCTTTAGCGATAATCAAATCAAATTTTAGCACTAGAAAACAAAATAGAAGTATCGGTATGAAAAACCAACACGCACCCAGATCATCCTGAAGTTGGTGAAAGCATGATAATCACCAAGCAATTTTGATGCCATACGGGTCACTCCATGCACAATTCTTGTTCTTAGCATTCTTTTTTGCTCGTATCTGTGCATAATAAGGATTCATGTTTCAATATGTAGCTACCGGAAATAGTCAACAGTCACAATCCATGTAATAATTCTACTGACGGCTACATGCAAGGAACGTTTCGATTACCTTTTCAGCACCAAGACAATTTCATTCAGCTTGATTGCATCAGACTCACATTTCGTGATGCTTTCCATTTCAAGAATCAATTGGTGACAATCCTGCAAACCCAATAAAACATAAACTCAACGCCAAATTTTTATTAATTACTCTTCTGTACATATCGATTTTCAAATTGGAAGTTTGATTATGTTGCTTCCATACTCAACCTATATGCTTTAGTTGCCAACAAATTGACATCTAAAATAGGGCTTTTGATTCTAATATTTATGTGTTTATTACATTAAAAGGTCATGAGTGCATTTTTGTTCACCATTATGTTTCTCAAAAAGTTTACCTCTATTGCCAAGCAACCACCGAGCCCTAGATTGGGCTGAACCGGATGAGCGGCGTCTCCTAAAAGAGTAACACGTCCTATCCCCCATGAGTATATCATGTCCCTATCATAGATATCTCTTCGTACAATATTTTCTTCTCTTGTTTTGTCTATCAATGTCGTCACGTCGCTGCACCAACACCCGAATAGTTCCATAAGTTTTACTTTCTTGCTTGTAAGCTCTGAAAAAAAGAGGAAAATTTTAAGATACATACAAGTTTTAAAAAGTAAAGAGAAATTTTATAACTCTCTAACACTCGTTTTATTTTATAGGAATTTACGTATTTGTTTATAAATTAAGAAATATAGATCTATATCGATCACCTGCCATAGTATCATAACTTCTCGGGGGCACGTGATGGAAGGCATACCATTGCATTTTCTCATTGCCTACATCACATGCTACAAAGTATTGGCCAGGTCCCAAAAATACCCGATACCTGAAAAGAAAACATGATAGAGGTAAGGTTGGTTAAGACGTGGTTAACGTATCCATCTTAGGCACATAGTTGTATACCCGATAGAGCTTATGTATGAGGGAGTGTAGTCCACTAGTCCACTATAACACGTATAGCCTGAATAACTTGCTTCTTGCGCTCCAAATAATTTCTTACGCACCTACACAATATTCGTGCAAATGGGATTGCATAAATAAACGTGCTCATGTGTTGAATGTTGCAAAAAGTGATATGAAACACTAATTTAAGATTGTTGACGTCCGCGATAGAATAATGACGTTAGTGACTTGGCATTGAAGTTTTCTCTTGTCCAGTCCTATTCCCTAGATTCAACAAAAGCATTTTGGAAAATTAGCCAATCGAGTTTTTATATGCTACACAGATCACGATCATGTTATGCGATAAACTTGAAAAACCTTATTTTCGTTTCGATTTGTGTTAACAAAGTTGACCAATTTGGAGGCCCTTTGCAAAGAGTTAAAAGACGGCCCTATAATTTTTTTACAGTTATATTACTTACTAAATTCTTAAATTGTGGAAGCATAGAATGATTATAAGCAAGATTCAAATAAAAAATAACACCAACATTTACATCATTAAACTAATTAATGCTCATAAATCTCAACTGATTAATATATTGACAAGAATAAAAAGCAATTAAGAACAAGATAGAAAATAATCACTTAATAGGGATAACGTATATTATATAGGACAAATAGACAAATAAAGTAGTAGTGAAAATAAGTGATCATTGATTATTCAACAATAAATTGGTACTACTACATCCATTATTTGAAAATATAAACACTATTTGTAATTACAAATTATTCATCTTTAATTAAATATACAAATTAGTTAAAGATTAGTGGTGAGAGAAGTCTCCCAATTAGTTACAAACTTCGGGGTTAACACCCCAGTTCTTCAATTAACTGTTAAATTCGCCATCGACGGCCACCATAGATTAGTCATTCCGATGTCGTTAGTTATCACACACCCAACGCTACTCTGACGTTCGCCTTTATCTCTTTCTTAATCTTTCTTCCGGCAAATTTCTCTCTCATCCCAATTTTGGTGAACAACGTTAATGAAGATGGAGCCATGGACGACTTCTCTCTCCCCTTCATAACCCTCCTACATATGATGCCCATAAAGATATCCTCTTCGAACTAGCTTCTCTAGAAGAACTAGCTTCTTTTGATTCTTGAATCCCAAAACCACATGAAATTTCTCGATGGATCGTTGTCGCCGTCTTACTTCCATCGATCAAAGGTTAAGGATGCTTCTAAACTCTTTTCTTTCTAAAGAGACTATGGTAGCTGTCTTTGGGAAAAACTCTACCATCACCACATGGATGACTATAGAGACCACATTCAATCATTCTTCAAAATTTGGCCAAAGGATCATCCCCCATCCAAGAATACGCATAGAATTGCAAGTGTATTTGTAACCAATTAGCATCAATTAGTAAGCCCAACGATGAATCTGTGTGATTATAAGGAATCTTGCGATTTGAAAGAATAACCTTTTTCACTTAATTTCTCAAGGAAAATACACCGTCATATATAGATATACAAAATAAACCTAGTAAAATAGGGAAAAACTAACAAAGGGAAGTAAACTAGAAAACCCCTACAAATATAAGATACTTACGTAATAACCCCTTTCACTTTTACACCTCCCCTCAAGATGGGAAGCATATGTTTATCACTCCTAGGTTGGAGCATAAGTTTTCAAAGATGAGCCGATGAAGGGCTTTGGTTAATGTTGACCCAAACTCTCTAAGTGATCTGATGATGACCCTTTGTACTTAGTGAAAATACTTAAGTTCAATTTCTGTTCAGTTTCAATGATCATCTCTGAGTCAGTTCAGTGATCATTGAACATGTATTGTAAACTTCTAAAAAGAACAAGTATTACTCGAAGACAAAACTCACACCAAAGGAACCTTCAGCAATGTCGAATATGTAGATGAAGAAGGGTTCAATAATTCGTGATTTGAAGCGGATTCAGTTATAACAAACGTGTTTAAATTGAAGTGTGAAATCTGACCAAGACTCAGCAAACACTGAAGAAACTCTAGATTTGAATTAGTGTTAGCGATCAAATGAATCTTGCTCTACAAGATTAGTTTTTATCTTATACTCTTTTAATAAAAGGACAACCACATGCCTCACAAAGTAAAACACATGTATGGAGTTACTCTATTGTCTCCAAACGTACTTACCTACTTTCTGAAAAACAACTATTCATATGCAGTCAAAAGCCTGCATATCTGAAGACAAAGGACAAGCTCTCTACTAGAAGTTTGACACGTGGTTTGTACCCTCTGTAATCCCAGATTTAAGTCTAATTAACAATTCAAACACAATTAATCAAGAACGTAGATGAAGATTTGAAACAGTCGGCAAGTCTAATCATGTCAAATGTAATATAGTGTTCTTGATCAATCTCACATATTTTCTCAATCTAAAGTATATGTATGAATTGTAATCTGTCAAAGTTTTATGCGCACCACCTAACTACCAACTAACCTTCCTATTTATAGCTACCTTCTAAAACAGGAAACTAACTACTAACAAAGAACCAACCTAATATTACAAAGCATATTAAAACAATTTAAGCACGGGGACTTGACTTACTCGAAATCTCACTTATCAGATTCCATTGTGGAAGACATAATTTTTCTGAAGAATTCGCCATGATCCATGCATAATAAACAGAAGAAATGGAGAAGCAAACAGAAACTTGATGTCAATATCAACCATAATAAAAATTAACCTTTGTCCTAGCCGTACCTAGTAAAACAAAAGCAATTAAGAGTGAAACTAAAGCACTGCTTCATGATAATCTTACATCCGGCTAAAAGTTCACGACCACTATTCTTTTTTTTTAATTGGGTAAGTTATATGCTTCCCATTTCTGACTTGCATCAATAATACATTTTGACCCAACATGGGTATAAATAGTTGAGAAAATCTCTTCTCAGTAAGCACTTTCAAAAGAACCTTCTTCTCAATCTAACTATCTTCTTTCTTGTTCTTATCTTCTATGAAACATGTGTGCTTTTAAGATTGTTTAGATGAGTTATAAATCTTATCTTCTTCTATATCAATCTATAAATTCTATATTGATCTTCTTTTACCAATAAATGAATTTAAAAAGTGAAAACTGTGTACTTGTGTTCATCCTCCCCATTCTACAAAGTGTTACCTTTATACTCTTGTAGATCCATTTGGGACCAACAAGTGGTACCAGAACAGTGTTTATTATCTCCTCTTTAAAGATAATCTACTAACCAGTTTTTCTTAAACGGCTTTGCAAAACATAAACACAAAATTTCATGATAATGGTTCTCTTTCCGAACCTCCCAGATTTAGCAGAGACAAGTCCATTCTCTAGAAAATCGGATGTCCCTATTATTGGAAGGTGTGGATCCTGAAATCCCCTACTATGTTGAAAATAGACCATATGTTCCATTTGAAATATCTCCAACAGTCCCTACCATTGCTACCACCGTTTCCATACCTGAAAGGCAAATTCCAGAGCTCATTCATCAATGGAGCGAGGAAGACAAAAAGAAAATGGCTCTAGAAACTAAAGCTAGATTATCATAGTTATGTCTCTTTCTGATGAGGTATATCACTTTGTGATGAAGCTTAAAACCTCTAAATCCATGTGGGACATTTTGTGTGTTCAATATGAAGATACCACTAAGGTACAAGAGACAAGAAAGATAAACCTGGTAAGATAATTTGAAAGTTTCATTTGTGACAAAACTAAATCTTTGTCTGAAGTCCACCAGCGCTTTAACTACCTTCTCATAGAGCTTGGGACCGTTGGAAGAGAATATTCCAACTCTGAGACGCTGAAAAAATTCTTAGAATGTTTTCCAGAATTATGGGATATATGTCTCAAAATGTTAAAAGACATGTTCACACACACACACACACACTCTTTCTCTCTCAGCACTTTATATGGGATTTTGCTAAATCATGAGCAATCTCAGCAACTGAAGAAGAATATCATAAGATATTCAAGGGAGTCAAAGGCTCTCATGTAGCTTTACTCTCTGAGATTCCTTCAACAACTACTCCCTCTCTCACAATCACTAAGTTAGATCTATCTAACTCCGAGGACTTAACATATGCTGATTTTTCAGGGTTTGATGAGTCACTAACCCTTATTACTAACTCGTTTAGAAGATTTGCTAGAAAAAGCAACTTCTATAGATCTCCTACTCTATCTGTCGCTGACAAGCCAAAATTAACCCCGATTGGTAAGGCTTGAGCGATATGCTATAACTGTGAATGCAAAGTGTCGTGCATGCAGGTCTAAAAGAGTTATGAAGCCATCTTCCACTTCATCCTTCTCCAAACCAAAAGATGGTAAATATCTGAAGCTGAAGAAAAAGTACAAGAAAATGAAGAACTACCAGCATAAAGGCAGGGGACTTATAACTGAAGAACATGACTGGGCTGATTCATTTGACGAAACATCTTCAGATGAGGACTATCTTTGTCTTATGGCCAAGGAAGTCAAAGATGATGAACAATCTGAGACTTCATCCTCAAATGATTCTACAACCTCAACTCAGGTATTAAATTTGAATGATCTTTCTATCTCTGGTACTGATAGTCTCTCTGTTAGATACATTGGCTGTAGACCTTTACAATGCACTGAAAGGTAAATGCAAAGCTGAAAAGCTAAATCTTGATTTACAAGAACAACTTGAAAAATGTCATTCAAAAATCAAAGAACATACTAAGATTGAAAAAAATCTTAAGGATCAAGTCATTGTAAACCAAGCAATCAGTATCGAAAGTGAGCAAGCAATCACTGAGCCTGAGCAAGTTATTGCTGAACTCAAGGTTGAAACGGCTACCACTAAAGGATGGTGTTCTATTAGGATTTTGTCTCCTCCATTCCCGACACCTCTTCCATTTTAGTGTTCCTCTACATCTGAGTCTAAACCTATTCTTGAAGTAAATCCTAAAAGTTCAAAATGCTTAGACAAAGGTAAATCCATTGTTAACATTCCTCTCAAGGCCAAGAAAGAGCAAAAGCTGTAGAAAGGCTTCTTCTAAATCTGCAGCTTGTCAACCTTTAAGGGTGGTGCATTTTTTCTATTAACATTTAACCACAAGGGTGGTGCCTGATTGG